CGTGCCCTTCTTCGCGGCCGCCTCCTCCCCCTTCCTCCTCAACCCTTTCTCCTCGACCCTTTCACTCTTCCCTCATGTTCGCCCTCGAAGAACCTGAGTCGAGAAAGCGACAACGGTCCTCACAATCGCGCGAGGATCTCGAGCCGGAGCCGATAGCAAAGAAGCAAAAACCTCTTTCGGAAAGCCGTGACCTCCCTCGTCATCGTCCTCCCAGCTTCTGGGACACGTTATCCAAGATTCGATTGAGTCGCGGTGCTCTCCGAGAGTTTGACCGTAGGAACATTGAAGAGAAGGTCCAGCCACCTTGCACACTCACACCGAAGGTCGAATATCCCACAGGGCGTGCTCGCCTACTGCTCAAGAGATTTGCTCGACGTGGTGGGCCTGATCTATCACACCTTCGAGGGGTAGGTCTTACCTATGCCGACGTGATCCTTGTAGACTGACCAGAGTTTGTGACAGCTTGCCAACTTGCCTCTTCCGATCCTCGACAGAATGAGCGGTTATGCTCGTTCTCAAAGCGGGAGACGGTCGTCAGCCTCCTCGAGGCTAAGTGACCATACCAAGACCACCTCTACTAAGACCACTCCGTATAGCGGCAATTTTGAGCAAAAACTGATCGACAATGCCATCTACCCCAGCCTATATGAGCATTCAGATGGACGTTTATCACAAAACCCGGCGAATCTGAGTGACATCCGGGCCGCACAACGCCACCCTCGGGCATCTCTATCACCGTCGCGATTCACTGACGAAGATTTTGAAGCCTTTCAGCGGGCAAATGCAAGAGCGTCCGGCGAGACTACGGGGATGCATAACTTACTCCCCTTCATCGCGGGAAATGAGGCGGGCCATCGTTTCGAGATGGGTCTGCCGTTGAGCAACCTGAAACCGTTCGACAAAGATCTCTGCGACCCCAGCCCCGACGTCTATCATGGAGCGGCACTCTCGACCATCCATCCGCGTGTTCGTGCTGACTTGGGACGTTATATCATTCCATCGACGGTCGATCTAACTCGTCCGGCGGCTCCGAATTTCTTCGTCGAGGGCAAAAGCCCTCAAGGTCGAGCGGATGTAGCAAAGAGACAAGCCATGCATGACGGAGCATTTGGGGCTCGAGCTATACACGAACTTCGGAACTACAAAGCTGAAGAGCCAGAATACGACAACAAGGCACGAAGCTTTTCCGCGACCTACCACGCAGGCACCGGCACTCTTCAGACCTATGCGCACCATCTCACTGCGCCGCTCACTCCCGGAGGGGAGTCAGAGTATCACATGACTCAGACAAAGGCATTTGCAATGACGAGCGACAAAGAAACATTCGTGAGAGGCGCCACGGCCTACCGCAACGATCGGGACTTAGCAAAGAAAGAGCGGGACAGCTCCATTGCCCTTGCCAACGAGGTGGCTCGCCAGATGCCCGCGCCCACCCCAAACACGCCCACCCCAAACACCAGCTCCACGACCAGCCGCACATCCCGTTCGACGGTCATTGCTGCCGGATCGGACACCTCCTCTGAAGACGAGCTGGCTCGCGATGAGGTGACCCCGGTTAAGCGCCTGAGACCAAGTGCGGCGTCATCCACGAGCTACGGTTCTGCAACTGGACGAGATGGCCGCGCTGCCTCCGGAACTCCTACTGCTGTCAGAAAACCACCCTTGGCACCACCGTTAAATACCATATCGACGTCCAGACGCAGTGGCCGGCCTTCTGCGGAGGGAAGCTTGTTGAAAGCAATTAGCCACGCACGGGATGGAACGGAGAGATCTTCAATGAAGAGACCTTCAGACCTCCCCAGGCAAGCACAAGGCGTGCAGGGCTCGGGACGAGGTCGCCAAACACGTCCCATGGTTGAAGTTACTTCAGAGCGGATGCGGTATAAAGAAGAGTCGGGATGGTGCGTCGAGTATGGGGATCAGTCTATCTTCGTGGGAGATTCGCAGTGGACTAACTACGAGAAAGATGGACGGCAAGCTCTCTTTTGCGCTCGTCTGAACGTCTTTACGTATCGGTCCAATGGCAACAGGAGTCGGTGAAGGCGCTAAGCATTTGGGGAGATGGCGAAGCGGCTCATCTTTGTGTTTGTGGGTCTAATTACTTCCATTAAATGGTGTTTGGTATTGTACACGTTCTGGTGTACAAGGAGTTTAGCCCGAGGTGCACAAGGGTGCTAAGTGTGAACCAACCTGATATTTTCCTTCCTTACTTCAGGCAGAAAGCCCTCCTTCCCAAATGGAAAAATATCATAATACAAATGTATCTTCCAGGCGCCTCTTAAGCTTTAGTGGTGCGGTGGCATTGCCTCATTGCCAGCTACTTGACATCTTGAAGATATCGAGAGCTTCCGTAACGGCCCTCCCCCAATCGTTAATTCGGTCCAATTTTGGTTACGTACCTACCACACTCATCAAAGGAGGTTGAAAAAGAGGTCACTGAAATCGTGGTGCGATCTCAATTCAGTATAATATTGATGACAACCTCGCATGAGACGCGAGGGGGCCTTTTCCGGTTCCTGATCCGTTCTCCATCACACCGCGGGACATCTTTTTGGTCCCGCGAGAACCTGTTGCAGAGCTCGGAGATCGTTTGTTTGAGTGTTGCAACTTGCTCTCATATGCTCCGATCGTGGACTCAATTGTATATCGAAGACGAAGTTCGACAGAAGTTTCAATTCGATTTACGGATAGTGCAATCCATACGCAAAACCCTCGACGAAACGTTATCGAGATCGTGAGCTGCTGCCTTGAGTAACTAACTTACGGCAAGCAGAGCTTGAAACGTGTAACCAAGCAAGTGCCGTGCTCTCATGTAGCTTCGTCTTACTAGTGGGTTTCTCTGATGGCATCGTTTCGAGTAGCTATGGAAGACGTGTGTGCTGGATCTCAGTATGAGACGCTACATGGATTTTGGTATCAGCGTCGCTGCCAGCCGGGTTCCGACTGCCTCTAGTACGCCCTGGTATTATTTTCGAGGTTAGATGGAGTTGTGTAAGTTGGGAAGGAGAAACAGCTTCCAACGAATGTCATTTCGTTGGTGGTTCCTGACACATCTTTGGCGATTGTCTATTCGGCCTCAGCACAAGATTTTGACCAAGTCCGGATCTCATCTCGAGAGGCTTGACTTCCATTTCCCAAGGTGTTAATTTTGAGCGACGGTATCGTGGGAACGTAGCTAGAAATTGAAAAAATCTTCAGAATTTTTGCATTTCTGCACTGTGTGCTCTCTTTTTCCTCTCAACTCCTGGGCGGTCACTCGTCCACGTGCGATTTGCCTCTCTTCACTCTCCTCCTGATGACCTTGGTTCCAGATTCAACGCCTGAGTTGGGTTCAGTAGGGCCCTGACCGGTGTCATTGAATAGCCAACGTAAATGTCGGACCTTTAGATGCTCAAGGAAGTAAGAGCTGACTGCGCCCTGGCAGGGACATTCAACATCAATGATCGGATCAGCCTTCAGGTAATCATCCCACACCTTTCGTGCCGCTCGAACCCACCCTCGGTCGCTCTTCCTCTTGATCTGGAGGACGTCTTCGACCTCGATCCATGCACGGAAGGCATCCCTCTCCCCAGCGTTCTGTAAGGCCACGTCGAGAGAATCCAGGAAGAGAAAATAGCAGTTTCGCTCATCGGTGGCTCCTAGTTCGGCTTGCATGTTGCATCGGAGGTATTGTGCAAACGGCCATACTGACCTCTGAGTGGTACAATCGATCGAGACCAGGAACCCACCGACAAGGGTGAAGACAGCATGCAAG